TCTCAAACTTGGACAAAATGTATATTTGCAATATGATACATGGTAAAAAAAAATTACAATCAAAAAATCTCTTAATCTTCTCAACATTTTTTCACACATTCTTTTACTCAGACGACATACATATCGTTTTTCTTGGATGCGTCATGATCTGCCCAGGCAATCATGACATAGTCAATTTTAAATCTTATTGACTTAAATTTCTCCATCCAAAATCAACACATTGGACTTGATTTTAAGTATGTACGTTTGCGTGTTTTAAAAATTAATTCTTGCAATCGTAAAGCTCCTTAAAAATTCAATTATTTCATAAAACAATTCAATGGCATAAACATCTATCTTCGTTCCTTCCCTCCTGTCTATGTTTATATGTTCTTATCTATCTATCTATCTATCTATCTATCTATCTATCTATCTATCTATCTATCTATCTATCTATCTATCTATTGTTATTTCTCTCTTTATGTATCCGTCTGCCTATCTTAACGTCTGTTAAACTTTCTTTCTCTCTCTTTCTATACATCTACATGTGTGCACATGTGTTTTCACCAGCCTGAATTGATGGTTCTACTAAATACTAATTTATGACATGAATATTCTGTAAGTTTCATGCAATATTCGCACCGTTATCGCAGACAAACCTCAAAAGACTTATCAGTCAACCGAAGTCATTTCATTCGGAACCGCCAGAAGCTGGTTAAAGATTCGATATGATTTTTTGCAACAAGAAAATGTGGTCAATATTTAAGTTTTAGAGACATAAAAACAAAATAATGCCAACTAATACTTATTCAATGCGTCAACGTGACGCCACACGTCAGGTAAAGTCACAGACGCTTCTTAAAATGGCCATATTCCATGTCCAGTACTTCCTCGATTATTTGGACGCGAAATAGAGAGAAAAATTGAAATCAGCCGAATATTTTTCAATTATCCGAACTAAAAGCATTCTAATATTTCATCTCAGACAAACGTTTTAGGAATTTAGAAATCCATATTCAGCTTTTGATAAAAACACTGATAAAAAAAGGTTCAATTCATTCCTGTTAATTTCTTCGTTGTTTTCAATCAAAGAAATTACATTTGAATTATCACGGAAATAAATGATTGGTTCAACGCAGACGGCCCTGGGCATGAACACTTCAGTGACCACGGTATTGTTGAACTTATAACCGCGTCTGAGGAGAAAGAGAAGGATGATACTATTTTCCGTGTTGACTTTTCAACAGCCCCAACACCAAATTTCAAACACCAAAGAAATGATTGAAAAAAAATATGTTGTCTCCAAGAAACCAAAGTCAAAGAAGAGTTATTACAAATTAATAACTTTGGAAATAGACAGTAAATATTATGAACATTGTTTCGTCATCAATACGAAATGGAAACATAATATACAGACTGAACAACATTAAAAGAACTATCAACAGAATTTCATCATTCGCTGTAAAAAAAAAAAATTGAAGAGGTGATACATTTTCGTTAATTAGCCCAGGATAGAAAGGTGTGGAAATGGTTGATGCAACGTTGCTCAAGATGGGAAATCACACTGATTTGCAACGTGCCTTCAAAGTTGAAACAGTTCTGATAATGATAAATTCGAAAATTATCAGAACGAAACCCATTCTAATATTCATTCTCAAAGGTGTTGAGAATTTAGGTACACACACACAGCGTTTCATTAATTCTTGCTAATTTCTTTGTTGTTTACATGCAAAAAAATACATTTGATAACCGCGTCGAAAAATGCTGAAGAGGACGATCATGATGATGATGATATAGGTATTACCCATGTTAAAGTTTAACAGCCTCAATGCCCAATTTCATACACCGAAGCAACGATTATGTTTGACAAATTCTTAAACTGATTGCGCTTTCAGAAGCTTCCCTTACAAATCCATCTACAGAAGGTCCTTGGGTTACGTCGAACCCGACGTACGCCATTTCATGATTACGGCGCCATCCATCTCTCATAATATAATACATCGTCACCCGGCGCTATATATATATATATTGTTTCTTCATCGGCTGTAGGCCATATTGGATTGTGCTACATTCGCTATCTCTCGTCTGTATCGTTTTTTTGAGGAACTTTTTGTCCTGCATTATGACTCCCAAGCGTAAGGCAGACTCATGTAGTTGAGTTTCGACCTACGTCGAAAATCAGGTTGCGTTGCGGCGAAGGAACGGATCCCCGACGTAAGTTGAGGAAGCCCTGTATTTTAATCCAGTTTCGCGGAGTCAGCGGCAGAAAAAAAAAAAAAAAAAAAAAAAAAAAAACGCAAGGCCCGCCGAAAACAGACAAAAATTGACGCATTTTTTTCATTAAAAAAGTCAACTGAGTAAAACCTCGAACAAAGCGTTTGAAAATGTTATTCGATGATATAAACATTAAATCTCTTTCAGAAAACGTCCCCGCCATTATTTTCAATAATTTAGGTATGTAGTTATCCGAAATTTTAAATATATTTTTAACCCCTGTCCCAAGTTGTCCTGATAATCGAGGAAGTACTTTATAAGACGTATTCATCCTGACAAACTAAACGTTGATAATCAAAGGGTCGTCTTTCTGCAATCGACGGTATGCTGTTATTTTTGTTGAAAAGCCGCGTCTAGCACGCTGGCTGTTTTAATGGTATTAACTCATATTGAGTAAACAAAATAAAAACAGAAAACATAAATAAATATATAAAAAAAAGACCTAACAAAACTAACATGGCTTATTATGTTACGATTGGTTCAATTGTACAGGCTTTTCTGAAATGTTAGAAAATAAAATAAAATTTGGTGTTTCTCTCCCATCCACCTTTTTTTTTCAGACCCTAGATATATTTGTGGCAAGATATGATTATTGTAATTAGTCTTTATTTTACTAAAAAAAAAAAAAAGCATAACAAATCATTGTTGTTTGGTGTTATATATGAGCATATTTTTATTATTGACTTTTAATTTTTGTTCTTACTGTTTCTGGCAAACATGGACTTTCATACCCGCAAAAAATCCCAAAAAAAACGCAGTGTCAAAACCATTTTAACTGCTCGTCGGCAATGTTTATTGTTTTAAAAAGCGATGATTAGAATTGTGATAAAACTTAAACACATGAAAGTGAATTTATATATATCTTTGTCCTTGAGAATTAACAACAAAAATATTAAACACTATTTATTAGATTGTTTATTTACAAGAATAATTTTAGATTTACAACATTCTAAAAATTAATACAATTGTATTCAAACTCACTAATGCAATGTAATATTTATCATTTACCAATTTATAAAGAAATAAGTATAAAAACAATTTTTCTTCATAAAGTTATAAACATTTAATAAATTAATTACATGAACCAACTACAAGGAAATCCTTATTATTTACCATTTTATAAATTTCGAATCGATTAGCAATTAGCCGCTGTTTTGCCAACCATTCCAATAAACAATATAATAAATAGTGTAAATAAACAATTTAATCAATAAATAGTGTTTATTATTTTTGTTGTCAGTTCTCAAGAACAAAGAAAATGTATAAATTCAAAACTTTTTAAAAAAATAAATTCAAAAATTTTAAAACAATAAACATTTCCGGGGAGTGAAGGAAGTTAAAATAAAAGCGGTGTCATGAGAAAAACCGTCCTTTTGACACTCATTGTTTTTTTTTCTGGCACGATGGTCCATGTTTGCCCCAGTTTTTTTTTTTTTTTTTTTTTTTTTTCAAAATGAGAGAAGAGTTGCATGATATATGGGGAAAAAAACTAACATATGGAAAAAAGGGTTGGGTTTTTAGGCGCACAAGAAAAGCAGATCTCTTCCTTGGTGTGAAATTGTACAGAATAAGAAAAAGGCGATAATGTCACTAAGACGCAAAGGGTTACTGGGAGTGAAAGAAGAAAAGACAATAAAAGAACAGGATCCAGGAAGACAGAAAAAAAATTGGAAGCTTGTTTTTAGGAAGACAGAAGATGGCGATTGACGTTGTATTTAGATTTTTGAAGACTGTATTTGGGAAGAAAGAAACCGGAAGAGACTCCCACAGGCGAGAAATGTGAGAAAATAAACTATGAGAATAGAACTTATGGTTACATCTATTTCAACGATAAAACGGCGTGATTTAATTGCCAATCTATTAGCGCGCTTAAATTCATTTGGTCGAGGTACCAAGGATGATAGCCAATTAGAACAATTGCCATGAAAATATTTATAGAAAAGACACAAGGAAGACACGTCGACCGCGCAATTGATCCAATATAATCACTCCATTTCATGTCATTGGAAACATGTATCTAAGAAGGTGCAAAGAGTCACTCTCCTGGAGGTTAGCATCAGCCATGCTGATGGCAGACAGAAAAGGTTCTATATGGGGATTATATGATAGCAGTTTTGGTGTGGAGGCGTTAAAATTGACAAGCCATACGTTGCTCTTGTTAACTACTGATTGGAGGTTATTTTTAAGAACAGTTGCCAGTTTTACATTGTCGGACCTATCGGACTTTCTAATGATCAGAAGTAAATATTTGTGTCATCGGCTAGGAACTGATGACATCGGGAAGGCCGTTGATGAGGATAAGTAACAACGTAGGTGCAAGGGTAGAGCAGTGGAGCCCCCTCCCCTCAACGTATTAAGAGTGGAAATGTATAAAGTCTTGTTCAAAATATTCTTTTGAGCCCCTAATAAAATTAAACTAAAGGAAAATGTTCGTTTAAAAGTGAAACTTGCAGTTGATAATGTCCTTTGTTATAGGAAATTCAACGAAAGTCGAGGTCAAAGGTAGCAGTCGCGAAGAATGTTTTTGGTGAGAAAGACCCTAATAGGAACTTTGGTACCAGTGACAAAACCGAAATTTGGTTTGGTTTGGTTTGTTTTATCGCATATCAACCGCTATGTGTTATTTAATGCCAACAAAATTTTTATTGCTGGTAATATTTTTTCAAAAATATGTTGCTGGTAATATATATATATATATATATATATAGATAGATAGATAGATAGATAGATAGATAGATGTGCCAAAAATCTATTGCTGGTAATACTTTTTTACAAAAAAGTATTTCTGGTATTAAAACCTATTTTTACACTTTCACAGTGTTTTGATCCCAGTTTGGGGGTTAACTATTTGACGATAGCTGGGACCCTAACAGGTGCTACCACTCCGGATCACGGTGGACCTGCGAACACCAGCAATTAAGAGTTGGTTCCATGCTCCTCAAAATCTCCTGATCAGAGGTCTTGCTGTCGGACGTAGTTTATCGTCTTACCCAGGACGCGGATGTAGTTTATGGTCATACCCAGGACGCAACGGAAGTTTGGTCTCCATCTCTTTGAAGTTGCTTTCAGAACAAATTATTGGTTTTTAGTTTCGGTCATGTTGTCCAGAGTTTTTGATTGACCACTTGGCGTTTTGGAATTACTTTCTTGTTCTCAGTTACTCTGGTCAATTCTCATGACGCGGGAATGAATAGTGCCTTGAACGTCTACTAGGAAGAGTCTTCTTAAGTCCCCACCTAACGAGTAGGTCCTCGAAGGTAGTTGTTAACGACCAGTCATCCGAGTAACAAGCGATCAGCGC